CCGGGTGGAGGGGAGCTATGGGGGAAAAAAGAGGAACAACTGTAATAATCTGAACAATAAAGATTTAATTAACACATTGTATGTGGGAAACGTATTTATACGTTTTATAAATACGTTTCCTGCATACAATGTGTTAAAAAAAATGGACCAATCTCTGATCAGGGCAATGAAGACCATATTAATAATGATTATTTATTTGTATGATGCTTTACTGTTTATGAAGCATTTGCACGTACAGCAGCTCACATCATTTCCTTAGATATCACAAGAAAGAGGGTTGGTATCTTCAGTCCAAAGAATGGCTGGCTGCTGGGTCCTTGAGTGTTATTGGGTGGCAATGTTGTAGGCTGGTCTTTTTGCTCACAGTCAGAAGCATCATCTCCAGCATCATTGTCATCCAGAAATTTTTATTTGGTTCTGCCTGTGGACTCAGACAGTGTGAATAACCCAGGGTCCTTGTCTTGAGGAGGTTGCAGCCTGGTTCAGTTCAGTCCACTAGCATCATTGGGCAGCCAGGGTCAGAGGGTCAGAGGAGGGAGAAGTCACCCTGGCCTAGGCAGCTGAGGAAGGCTCTGTGGAGTTAGCTTATCTGGAGTCTGGAAGATGGATGGGATTCGGGCAGTTGGAGGGAGAGAAAAGAGCACTGGGTAGTCCACTGTCTGTCAGAACAAAGGTGTTCCTGGCATCAGACTTGCTACCATAAAGACACATTCCAGAATGCCAGGCATTGAACTTGGACCCCCACGCTAAGGTGCCATGATAAACAGTATAAGTGTGGTGGCAAGCCACTGCATTCCAGGGACTTGAGACCAGTTGCTGACTCTTCAAGACCCATGTCATCTACAGAATGGAGCATCACATGTTGTTGAGGAAAGCTCTCTGTTATCGTTGGAGGCAGCAGATTCTACAACTGACCTCGCCCTGCCCTTAGGGCCGAGAGTAACTCAGGATCTCTGAAGATGTGTCTGTGAGATATTAATAAAATTTAATGAAAAATATTTTAGTGGTCAAATAATTTTCAAAAAAAATTGCAAGTCACATTAGTATAGTAAAGGCTCTGAGAAGTTCTGTAGTAAAGGAATCGGTTTAAGTTTAATTCAGCATTTCTCAGATATGGATATAGACTGGCAGTCATTTTTTATTCTCCCACACTGGAAGTGAACACACCTACCTCATTCCATTGTTGTCATAAAGATTCTATTGCAAAAGCTTTTCCAGCTTTAACTAATACGCACAATCACTTTGTGTAATAGTACATGCATTTTATGTACAACTAGAGGCCCAGTGCATGAAATTTGTGCACTCGGGGTGGGGGTCCCTTAGCCGAGCCTGCGCCCTCTCGCAGTCTGGGAACCCTCGGGGGATGTCCGACTGCTGGCTTAGGCCCGCTCCCCCTGGACCAGCCTACAAAAAAGCCTTCAGTCAGACATCCTTAGTGCTGCCACCAAGGCAGGAGAGGCTCCCATCACTGCCACTGCCCTCGCCAGCTGTGAGCCTGGCTCAGGGCTTCTGGCTGAGCAGCGCTTCCCTTGTGGGAGAACACTGACCACCAGGGGGCAGCTTCTGCATCGAGCGTCTGCCCCCTGGTGGTCAGTGCGTATCATAACTACCGGTCGTTCTGCTGTTTGGTCGATTTGCATATTAGCCTTTTATTATATAGGATAATGTTAAATGGGACAAAGATCTCAAGGTCTGAGCAGTTCTTACTAAGTGCAATTCTTGCTAAATGTTAAAATGTAGCACGGTATTTTGCAGATGCAGCTGTAACCCCATGAGCTTGACCCAAATCCAACCAGATAGGTTTAGCCAACTGCACAGAAGAAATCAACATTAATATTAACCAGATAGTGTATATAAGCAATGGCTAAGCCTCCCTTCTGGGAGACAGAGCTTTGGATATGAATCCCATCTCCAGAACTACCTAATGACAATTATGTCTCTTTCTTGACCAGAACACCTCAAGTGGCGAACCCCTTGAGCTGGGTAGCATTCACAAGTCGGGGGTGGCCATAGGCGTTAAGACTCACTAGCTATTATCAGTCAGATTTTTAAAGAAACTGAATTGCCAATGAGACCTCAAGAACTTACAGGGTTTCTGATAATTCCAGTCAATTTCAGACATCTTGTCTAGACATAGTCTCTGAGACTGGGAAATCCATTCTGGTAACCACAGGCCTCTGCCTATTCTCTGGCACTCGGTTAAACTGCCTCTGCCTGGAGGCTATTCAAAATTGGCGTCTAAGGTACAGAGAGACCGTCTGTAATCTGTTCTTTGCCCCCACGTTTTTCCTCATCGTGGGCAGAAAGTGCTTTTTTTTTTTTTTTTTAGAAAATGTTTAAAGCTTTGCAATGTTGTAGGCTGGTCTTTTTGCTCAAACTGATCTCTGGCTAAGTCTCCTGTCTCTGCTGGTGCTTTCTCTTGGGGTAGAGAATTCAGCCTTTCCAGCCCTGCAAGGCTCCAAATGATAGGACTTCCAGTAAATTCGGACTGAAAACCACTCTCAGCAAAATCATATTCTACCTGCTTTTAAGTATATATATATACAGTGAGACTGACTATGTAAAAACGCATTTTTTTGTTTTTTATATTTTTAAAATTTTTTTATTGATTAAGTTATTACATATGTGTCCTTATCCCCACGTTACCCCCTACCCCCAACCCCCTCCTCATGCCCTCACCCCTCTGTTGTCTGTGTCCATTGGTTAGGCCTATATGCTTGCATATAAGTCCTTTGGTTGATCTCTAAAAATGCATTTTTTAAAAAGGAAATGAAACACATCAAATGTTAAAAGTGCTTGTTGGGGCTGTGGTTATTTTAATTTTATTTTTTAAAATATATTTTTATTGATTTCAGAGAGGAAGGGAGAGTGATGAGAAAGAATCATGGATCGGCTGCCTCCTGCACGCCCCTCACTGGGTATCGAGTCCACAACCTGGGCATGTGCCCTTGACCAGAATCAAACCTGGGACCCTTCAGTCCACAGGCTGACACTCTATCCACTGAGCCAAACTAGCCAGGCTGTGGTTATTTTTAAATCTTCTCTGTACTTTACTGTATTTTCTACATTTTCCATCATAAATGTTTTATCTTTATAATCTGAAAATATAAAATAATTCATTTTTAAAAATAAAGTGAAAACACTCAAGAAAAGATAAAATGTGGATGCTGCTTTTTAAAAAGTAAGTGGCCAGATTCCCCCATCAGATTTTCCTGGGGAATGCCAGAGCTGCCAAGGCAAAGTGGGGATTTGTGGCAGATATCACCTAACCTGGGTGGTGAGGGTGCTGAGCAAGGCAGATTCCATCCCAGCTCACTGTGAGGGGCCTCTGCATGGATAAAGGAAATCGATGAACCTAGCCTTGCTAGTGAATATGAATATTTTTTATGTTAACTACTGTACTCAAAGCATCATTGTACCTGTTACTCCATTCATTATCCACTTACTCAGGCTCACAAAAAATTTGGGAGAATATCTTAAAAGTCTCGTATCCTGGACTTTAGCCCTCTTTTGTGAACCCCTGGCCTCACTGTACTTTCTGGGGTGCACTCTGCCGAAGTTCAGCCCTCAGATCGAACCCCACCTGACCCTAACCACACCTGACTCCCCACGCTGCAGGGGCCACCTTGTGGAGGCTTATTGTAGAGTCTGTTCTCAAAGATGTCAAAGACTTCTTTGGGATGTTGTGCACCGTGGATTTATGTTAAAAGAAACTAGTGCTGCTGGGACAAGGGGATTACATATTATCTCTGTTTTCTCTGATCTCTGAACACAAAACTGTAAAGTTGTTTCTCCCTCCTAAGGTCTCCTGGGCCCTCCAGAGGGGTTTAGTGAAGTGTTTGGTAAGGCGCTAGTCACATTCAACGAGCAGTCAGTCCTGGGCCCTGGCCCCCAAAGCGCTCACAGCCTAGCCCAGGAGGGGCGGAAAGATGGGAGAGACCGAACCATAGAACACCATTACCTATAATTCCAGCGAGTAACGACAAAAGCTGTGAGGGAGAGGATCCTTTCATGCACTTGAGGAATGCATGAGTAGAGGGGTTTCAGCAGGGTCTCACTTGGTAAGATTTTTCTGAGGCGGAGAAAGAGGGAGGTGGGAACTGCAAAAGAAGAACTAGGGAATGGGAATCCGGAGAAATGGGAAGAGGAAGCCACTCCTTTATCCTTGTACTAGACAGAAGGAACTCTCTCCTATACTCTTTCAAAGGCTGTAATCATCACCCTTTAGAATTTCTACAGTAGCTTTTGAAAATTTAATTGCAATACACTCCCACACTCACAGAGCCCC